AAGTCTAACTATTTTATTCACACACATAAAGTCACTTCCGCACATTAGAGTAAATAAAAAGAAAATGTATACAGTATTCTGCACATGTACCAAATATAAACACACACACAAAAAAGAAATATTATATTTAGCGTACAGTGCTGTAAGTAAAGTAAATAAAGTTTCTACGGTAACACTTTCACTGGTCGCAGTTGTCATTTCTTCCCTCCCTCTGATGACTGTGAAGAAGTCATCAGAGGGAGGGAAGAAACGACACAAATGTCTCAACCGTCTCCTCCCCTGTGATGTCCTCACATGCAGCATCGATTCCATGGAGCAGGGGCCTCAGGTCTGGAGCCCCATGTTCATACACTCTCCACCTCCAAGCAGAATAAAACTCACTCAGATTGAGGAAAGGAAAGTATGGTAGTAGTAGCTCCATGAGCATCTTTAGATGGAAGTGAACCAGGCCTGATGAGCCACAGTGGAAATTCACACTGTCCCACACGATCACATAGTGTGATAGGAGGTTCTAATTTCACCTGACTGACAATTACTGTCATGAATTTATCAAATGTTCCAAAAACTTCATATAAGATGTTCATGGTGTGATGTTCTTGACTAATTATTACTCATCAGTTTAGATCAGCAAGATCTATTTATTTGGCAATAGTGCCAAATGTGGCCTCATTGTACTAACTGTAGGCGACTTGTACAGAAGCATTTGCAAAGACGCACTGACACACTTGAGACATGCACTAAGACATTTACAATTTGATGAAATCAGTGACAAATGTCATTATCTTAAAAGTTATTTTTTTAAGTGCAGGAAGTGAAGACACAATTTACAGGCAAAATATACATTTTTTCTGAGACTGTAAGCATGATTTCAACAAAATTAAGGTGTTTTCTTGTATATGGATTTGTCAAATCATAATATAACTATAACTATAACTATATATATATATATATATATATATATATATATATATATATATATATATATATATATATATATATATATATATATATATATAGTATATATATATACAGACAGATACACAGACAGATACACAGACAGAGACACAACAGACAGAGACACCAGACAGAGACACTGACAGAGACACAGACAGATCACAGAGACACAGACAGAGACACAGACAGAGACACAGACAGAGACACAGACAGATACACAGAGACACAGACAGAGACACTGACAGAGACACAGACAGATACACAGACAGAGACACAGACAGATACACAGAGACACAGACAGAGACACTGACAGAGACACAGACAGATACACAGACAGAGACACAGACAGATACACAGAGACACAGACAGAGACACTGACAGAGACACAGACAGAGACACAAACAGATACACAGACAGACAGACACAGAGAGACACAGACAGAGACACTGACAGAGACACAGACAGAGACACAGACAGACAGACACAGACAGAGACACAGACAGAGACACAGACAGAGACACAGACAGAGACACAGACAGAGACACAGACAGAGACACTGACAGAGACACAGACAGAGACACGGACAGAGACACGGACAGATACACAGACAGATACACTGACAGAGACACAGACAGAGACACTGACAGAGACACAGACAGAGATACAGACAGAGACACAGAGACACAGACAGATACACAGAGACACAGACAGATACACAGAGACACAGACAGAGACACTGACAGAGACACGGACAGATACACAGACAGATATACAGAGACACTGACAGATAAACAGACAGAGACACTGACAGATATACAGACAGATACACAGACAGATACACAGAGACTCAGACAGAGACACTGACAGAGACACTGACAGAGACACTGACAGATACACAGACAGATTCACAGAGACACAGACAGAGACACAGACAGAGACACAGACAGAGACACAGACAGAGACACTGACAGAGACACAGACAGAGACACTGACCAAGACACGGACAGATACACAGACAGATACACAGACAGATACACTGACAGAGACACAGACAGAGACACAGACAGATACACAGAGACACAGACAGATACACAGACAGAGACACTGACAGAGACACGACAGGACAGAGACACGGACAGATACACAGACAGATATACAGAGACACTGACAGATAAACAGACAGAGACACTGACAGAGACACAGACAGAGACACTGACAGAGACACTGACAGATACACCAACAGATACACAGAGACACAGACAGAGACATTGACAGACACACTGACAGATACACAGAGACACAGACAGAGACACTGACAGATACATAGAGACACAGACAGAGACACTGACAGAGACACTGACAGAGACACTGACAGAGACACCACACAGATACACAGAGACACAGACAGAGACATTGACAGACACACACTGACAGACACAGACACTGACAGATACAGACAAGACACAGACAGAGACACAGACAGAGACACTGACAGATACATAGAGACACAGACAGAGACACAGACAGAGACACTGACAGAGACACT